TGTGGCCAACAGCAAAAGGGGCGTGGCTACACACACTGACATTTCTTAGTTGGAAGCCATTTCGGCAGGCATGAAGCCTTCAGAGAGGTGTTTCCACCTTCCAGAATGTGGGGGAAACTGCGGAAGAGCAAGGAAACCTCCAAAAGATTGATGCTTGCAGGAGAGAGGGGCTTGCTTTCTGGGGAAGAATTCCCCTCTTCCCATGTCTAAGATTTAGTTGCTTTATAGTATTGAGTGGAATTAGATTGGCTCTCCACTGTGACCTGACTCTTGGAGGATACTGGGAAGTTGTGCCCAGGCGAGAAATGGTTCCCGCATCCAATCAGCAGCCTGGGGTGATAGCACTGGTATGTGTGCCAGGTTCGCAGATTCCCTGGCCTCCATTTCTCATCCTAACCTACCTTGCAGGACTGTTGTGAGTATCAGAAGTGAAGAAGGGTTTGTGCTCAGTCATCACTAGGGTGGTGGTGCAGTGAAGCCGGTCGTTGCAACTTGCTGGGGCTTGTCCTATCATGGCTTGGCATGACATTTAAAAAATAGGATACTGAATGGAATCCTAAAGTGGGGTTCTTGGTTTACCATGCACACAGTTGGTTCCACACTGCTCAATGCCTCCTGCTCATGCCTGCAAACTCCTCAAGCCCAAAAGGACCCATATTGACTGCAAATTGACTGCGAGTTCACATTGGCTTGTTTGCATGCCAGCACTGACCCTTTTCACCCTTGTGTAGGACTCGTAAGCCAAGAGCAATACTTGGTTTAATGAATCCCTACTTGTAAAGTCAGCAACAACTTAGGATCCTGGGTTGGGATGACTTGCTGACCGAAACATTTCTGGTTGCACGAGAGCAAATGGGCTGTGCGCGTGGGGTCCTCTTCCCCCACAAGTGAGTTTTATCATGTGCAACCTGGCCCCTGAAATGAAAGAAGTGTAGAAAATCATTCCGGCCTTCCTGTCCACTTTTAATTAAATTGTCGGCAGAAGCCCTGTGTGCTTTGCCTGTGACAGTTAATTCGTCAGTGATAATGTATCAGCAACACCTAATATAAATGGGGATAAATGTATTCCCAGTAGCGGAACCAGGAGAGCGTATCCTTGAGCTGGGGGGTGGATGTCAAAGGCATCCTTGCTGGAAGGGCAAGATTGGTGTGGGAGAAAGCAGTCTGGAACATGACCTGGCAGGGAAGGAAGCCGGGTCCTCGCAAGCTCTTGGTGACCTGTTTTTAACTCTTTTCTTTGTTCAGGTATCCCAGGAATGCTTGATCTAAAGTGGGAGGCGGGGGACTCTGGGAAACAGAATTCCTGGAGCCCTCCCCTCAACCCTTGTGATCTGGCAACTGGGACCTGCTGCAAGAATGGGGTGAATGCTGAGGATGGATGCATTTGGGGTCTGGGATTCCCTTCTGGGAAGAAGGCAGGCTCACACGGCTCGCTAACAGGACATCGGTCTTTTCCTGGCTTTGCGGGCAAAACCCTGAGGATTCAGTTTTCACAGTTTAGCAGGGGAGGGCGAAACCTGAGCCGTTGCAGGAAAACAGGAGCAAAGAAGACACAGATTTGCACTGTATTTGCAAATGTTCATTTATATGTTTAGATGCGTGTTCAGAACTTGCTAGTGCACCTTGAGCGGAAATGCAATATGTACCGGAAAAGGTGGTGATGAGGTAACTGAAGAGCATCAGCAGAGCATTGCCAGACCAGAACCGGGTGGTCAGTCCAGTCCAGCTTCTGCTCACATGGGGCCACCCCACTGCCCATGGAAAGGACAGGCGTGCACGCACCCACCCATGTTCCCCAGCAACTGACACAGGCACCCTGCCTCTGATCATGGCGGTTGCACTTAGCCATGAGGACCAGACGCCTTGAATACCTCTTGGCCATCAAATTGTCCAATCGCCTTTAAAAACTTTTGGCCATCTCTTTATCCCTGGGCGTTCGTTCTGTAGTTTAACTCTGCATGGATGAAGAAGCCCTTTGAGGTGTCCTGAATCTCCCTCCACTCAGCTTCATGGGCTGCCCCCTGTGGTTTCAGGACTTTCTCCACCCTTTTTCTAAGCTAAGCAGAGCCAAATACTGTGACCCTTTCATACGGGGAAATCGGGGAAATCACTCCAGCCCGTTAACCCCTTCAGGCACCCTTTCCTGCCCCTTTCCACCCAGGCCATGTTCTTTGTACCTGCGCAGGCAGTGCCTGCCCATCACCTCTTCAAATAGAGGACTTTCCTTCCTGAAGAAGGACACCTCCCCCCCACCCCACCCCCTCAAGACACAAAGGGAAACCATGCCTACGTACTTCGATCACCCAGAAATCTTATCAACAGAACCCTGTTTTCGCCTCTTTGCTACTGGTTCTTGCTATCATTTTTTTAATCATCATTATTTCTGTTGTTCTTACTTTATAGCCATTTTATTTCCTCTAAAGAACTCAAGGTAAAGTACATTGCTCTCTCCTGCTCATTTTATCTGCACAACGACCCTGTGAGGGAGATCAGGGGAACATACCTGCAAGTAAAATTGGCCCATCCCTTGAGCTTCCTAATGAGGGGAGGTTCAGACTCTGCCCAGCCCGATGAACTTACCCTAGGCTGGGAACTTCATCTCCCATCATGCTTGTCATGCCATGGGTGATGGGAGTTGCAGTCCTATGCATCTGGAGGGCCCCAGGTTGAGGAGCAGGTACATTGTAGTCCTTGCCGTGTTTTGCAGGTTTTGGATATGGCTGTTGGAGTAAAGGAACACTCCGTGGTGGGTTCCCTGTTCTTGGAAATAGGAAATGCAGTGATCTTAAGCAAAATGCCCCGTTTCCTTGTTACGGGGAGAACTGTGGGCATGTTCCAGAAGCTCAGGGAGCCCTTTTCTGATTGCTGCGACCGAGGCGCATCTCTGTAAAGAAAGACGTTGCTTTACTTGCGGGCAAATGTATGTGGATCCAAATGATGAACCCTTGATTTCAAACTTAGAAGATGACTACGATCTCATTAATGGAAACACAGCCCTGGGGAACACTGGGGATTTCATTAGTTAGAAGGACTCCGATGCTGCATTTTGGAATGAAACGGCTCTCCGAAAGCTGTTTACGGAGTTATGACAAATACAACACAGAGAAGCAGCCCAAGGAAAAAAGGCTTTTTAAAAATTCTGTCGACTCTTCAGAGGTCAGTGTGGGGCACCCGTTGTGCGTTCAACGTTCGTGGAATTCCTTGTCTGGCGGGCTGGGAGAAAGCCACGCTCCCCCTTGCCATCACTCGGAGAGGCCCACATGGGGAGATGAGTGGTGGAAAACAATCCCTGTCATTTTGCAGTCCCAACAATGCCTGTCAGTCTGTGGAGAGAGAGTGCACGGCGGGGGATGCTTCCCCGCCCCACATGGGTACATCCGTCAATCGAGAACCGTTTTGCGGCACTCAATTGGCCCTCACCAAAGGGGAAAAGCAGGGTAATTGCTTTGTAGAGAGGCTGATGGCTGATTTCCATATGCTTGTCTCGTTTGCTTTCATGCGGCTTCTCAAAACATTTCCTCTGCAGGGTGTTTGAGCACATCTCATGCGCCATCAGAAATGAGCCTGGGGTGTGCGGGAAAACAGCAATTAGGCCAGCGGAAGAGTGCATTGGGTGGAGGGCAAGAGAGCGGGGCTTCTCTATGAAATGAAAGTGGCTGCACTTGAGGAGAAATTGCAAGTCGTTTTGGATTGAGTGCGTCCGGCCGGATTTGGCAAATGCACCTGCGGCCACGGCGTCTCCTGCTGGGATGCTGTCCCGTCTCATCAAAGAAGCAGAGCCTGCTACAGCTGAGCACTTGGGCGGGCACCTTCTCCTCTCCCTGCCAGCGTGACATCACCACTCCAATGCTCAAGAGCTGAACTCTTTGCAGGCTCGTTGTTTTGGTTTACCAGCTGCAGGAGCTGTGCTGCCCCTCAGCTTACCTATAGCAGGTGGAAGCTTGCAAAGTGCTCACCTTCAGGAGTTGCATTTTGCTGGGTCGGGCTGGTGTGTTATTGCTTGCCTGAGTTGTGCTTCTGCAAGGAGGTGACTCATAGCAGTCCTGACATTTTGAACAGGGTCATTTAGAAAGATGCACAGTGAATCATTCAGAGAGGTGCCATGCAACCTCCTCCATGAGTTGACTGCCTTGGACTTGTGGCATCTATGAATTTACCCTCTTCCAGATGTGGTTCATGCTCAGAAGGAGGTAACACATACAGAGACTCCCAGGAACTCACACAGAGACACAACAGGCACTCTCTCCAGCGCCCACAATGGTCTGCTACCTTGTTGCAACAAGAGCAGTTGGGTGCCTTAATTGCATCACAGCCAAAACCCAGAGGTCAATGGGAAGAATTCAGGCTGAACCAGAAAATCATTCAGAGAAAGGCTGTGCAGCCTTTCTGGGTTACTCTTTTGGATTTGTGGCTCCTTAGACTATTTATTAAATTATTTTGTTGCTTCTGCAACTGGCTCATGGCACAGCTGAGCACACGGTCTGAGATCAGTCAGTGTTGTGTAGTGCTCAGAACAGGCATGGATAAGCTAGTCCTTCCCTGATGACTTGCCTGCCAAACCTTATCATCCTGGGGCTGATGGGATCTGTAGTCCAGTGTGAAGGAGGGCAAGCACTTGCTTTATGCTTTACCAGAGGTAGATGGTAACTTTTGAATATGCTTCTAATCCTCATCTGTGGAGCAATCCCAGTGATCAGTTGCTCTCTTGTGGCCTAACCTACCTCGCAGGGTCGTTGTGAGATAGAAAGGATTGGAGGAAGATTCAGCCTGAGCTTTTGAAGTCTGGGTTGTCAATAGATACTACAAAGAAATAAAGGGAGTTTTGCTTCCTTTTCATTCCAGGTGACCAACCTGGAAGGCCAGAGCAGTTTTTCCAGCAGAATCTTGAGGGCTAGGAGAGTTGGAATTTTGGGGAGGGTTGAGTGAAGGAATGGCATGGTCAAGTTTGAAGACAGCCTAGAAGTTGGACATGGAGTGAATATGCACTTTCTTGCCTGTAGCCCCCTGGAGAGAGCGAATACTCGGATCCCTTCGATGCCCACCGGGAGCCAAAAGGAGAGGCAGCGGAAGATGCTGAGCTGGAAAACAACGGCTACATGGAGCCGTACGATGCCCAGAAAGTGGCTGCTGGTGAGTGAAGGGCTTTGAGAGGAGTCCTAACTGGGGGATATTAGAGATTGTCGGTCCCCATTTTGAATTGGGAGGGCCATCTGCTCTGGGCTGCTTTTCTACAGAAAAGTGGAACACAACTAAACTCAAGTCTCTAGTCCTTGTGGATGCACTAGGAACAGTTGTGGCAAGGGAGATCTCAAAAGCAGCAGGTGTCTGAAAGATTTTTTTAAGCATTTGAAAAAGGGAGAGGAGTAGCTGGTAAGTCTTATGGGGCACAATGTCCGACCGACAGACATTGCCACAGGGAGAAACTCAGCTCAACTGGGCCCATTGGCTTCTTGGCCTGGGATCAAATATCTCCTCATGTGGAATAGTCCAGCAATGCTTCACCCCCGCATTCAGGTCTATGGGCGATGATCCTCTTCTCTTCTTGATGCCTTTTTTCTGTCATCTTTGCCTTCACCTCCCAACTTGGCTTCCAGATTTCCAGGGCAAGCCTGACTGGGAGGAGGGAAGGGTGAAGAAATCCCGGATCGGTTTCCAGCTCTACGACACCCCGTACGAGGAGAAGGTGCCCAAGGCTGACCCAGACACGCTGCCCGTTGGCAAGCCGCGCGAAAGCCGGCTGCCACAGGACGACGAGCGGCCGGCTGACGAATACGACCAGCCGTGGGAGTGGAAGAAGACTCATATTTCCCGAGCGTTTGCAGGTGCGAAAGCTGCTTTTCGGAGTAGAAAATGGCTGGGTTCAGACAACGCCCAGTGTCAAGGGTTGGGAATGGGTTGCCGCTGAAATGTGGGTGATTGTGTTGTCCGAGTCCAGCCGAGATAACAAGCCACCGTTCACAGCGGAAGAACAAGCAGTGGCTTTTCATCATCGGCTTTCAGCAACCCACATTTCAACAAGCAGTTAAACAGTCAACCCCCCATCACAACCTGACAGTAAACCATAGGGTCTCTTCGTGGGTTGTTCAAGGCTAACCAGCCATGATTTCCGGCCACAAGTGGCGTCCCTGGGCAGAACCTGGTGCACAGGCTGTGATTGCTTGGCACCGGGGTAGCAGGAGAAGAAAAGCAGAGACTGTTGTTCTTGCATGCAGGATGCAATGCTTTTAAAAGCAAGAACACAAGTCTCTAGTCCTTAGTTTTATTTTTTAAATCCTACCTTTTAGCAACATAAGGAAGGTAGGTTACAGAAGATTGAAGTCACATATTTAAAACATTTCTAGTCCTTCCTAATATTGCTACTGAAATAGCCCACCTTTTACAAACGAGTCAAAATATACCACCCCAAATTATTATGATTGCTATCCTACATTTCTCCCGCAAGGAGAAACTTGCACAATCCTTCTTCTCTTCAATTTATTTTTACAACCCCTTGTGAGATAGGCCAGGCTGAAAGTCTATGACTGGCTCAAAGACGCCAAGTGAGCACCACAGCTGAGTGAGGATTCGAACCCAGATCTCCTGCGTCCCAACCCAAGGCCCCACTGCTTGATTTCTCCTCCACTTCCTCCTCCTCCTCTTCCATCCCACCAGTTTACAAGAGTGTACGAGGCAGATTACATAAAACCAAAATATCATCCTTCCAAATAGATCAACATGACACAAACTCAGCAATCGTTTAAAAGTACCCTGTGCTGGAAAAACTGCAAAGCTGGCTGTAAGGCGCCTTTTAAAGCTTGTGGGCCGTGCCAAGTGCACGGACAGCAATTCTGCAGCTTTCCCCCAAAGTGCCAGACATATTATTTGAGCGTGGGATCCACCCTTTTTAATCTCCTTCCTTTTAAAATTAAACTTGCCACTTTCTTGTCCTGATGCGCCCAGTACTTGTGACAAAACTACAAATCAGAGGGGAAGGAAAGGGGTGGGTGGGTGAAGCTTTGTGGTAGGGATTTTTTTTAAGTGGGGGAATAGGCTCTATTTTCTGTAGAGCGCTCTCTGGTTTGTATTGTATTGTATTTTATTTTATGTTGTTATTATTTTTTTACAGGGGCTCCCTGCCATGTGGGGGCAGAGGGTGGATTCTATGCTTAGCTTTCCCCGTGCTTCATTTTGGGAGAGGCATGTTTCTTGCCCGGCGTCCTTGATGTGTGCTTCTCTAAGCAGTTTTGTGCTCTGTCCTGATCTCCCACATTATGTGTGTGTTTTTTGGTGGGGTGGTCCCATTTCCTACCTAGCTCTTCTCTTCCCACCTGGCTGTCCCCTTCCCCTTTGATGAGCAGGATGCACTCTACTTAGAACCAGGTAAATTGTCACTGGCCAGATCCCCCCCTCCCCCTGCACTTCCAAAACGCAGACTGCTCTGTGGCACAAGATCTTCGTTCTCCAGTGCACTTCCAGTGTGTGCTGCCAACCAAGAATGAGCCTCTGAGTGGTTCCTTGAACCCAGTCAAGCAACAGCTTCCAAGCATCCTCCTTTCGAGGACCCTGGGTCCCTCTGGGATGTCCTTTTGGAGGCAGGCAATCCTTTTCTCGGCTCATCTGTGTCATGGGGTCAAGAGTTCCCATGAGTCTCTTGGGGCTTGGCAGGAGACCAGAATTCACCTGACTAATCTCAGCACCACCTGAACACCTGCAGAAGGTGCGCTTCAGAGAACTCCCTCCACTTCTCCCGTTTCCAGGCCTGAGCATTCTGGTTCCCAGGAGCCCTTCTCATCCAGCCTGACCTTGGAAAATGCACCAGGAATAACTACTCCTTTAATTCTCAACATAAATTCAAGCGGAGTCTTGGACTCTTGTAGGAGGATTTAAATCTGCCTGTTTCAAAGTGGAGGATCCGAACAGGGATTCCTTAGGATCGCACCCTGAAATATGTCCTTCCACCCCGCTGCTTCCCCCCAGTCAGTGCAGTAGCCATTTCACAGGTGCATCGATAACCCCCAGATGTGGCCCGGGGGGTGTTCCCATTCTTGCACAGGAGGGACTCCGGCTTAGGGGTGCCTTGCATGCGGAAGGGGCTGGGTTTGATCTCAGAGAGCTGGTGGAGCTAGGGCTGAGAACCCCAGTCAGGGAGACCTGGAGAGCCTGACTTGTTGATGAATAAAGTGGGGAGCATTCCTTGACCAGGTCCAAAGCAGCTTCCTTTAGGTGGGGAGAATCCTTGTCTGGGGTCAACCCTACTTTTCTCCCTGCAGACAGCAAACAAGACTGTTTAGGATCCGCTGTGCACTCCCACCATAGTCCACAGGCTCTTTGGGCAGTTTCCAATTTTTTCAAAGCCAAAATACCATACAGGAAATACATATGAAAACAGTGTAGACAATATATTCATAATACTAGCAAATAAGCAATATAATAAGCAAGAACCATGGGACAACAAACAGCAATTGAAACTCTGCAATAAGACACATTGATGAACCATTAAAATATTTAGAAAATAAAGATATAAGGGATGGTCCTCTCTGGGGAGCATGTTCCAGAGATGGGGTGCCATCGCTGCTCCTGGTTGCCACCCTCCCCCACTCCTTTGCAGCACAGGCTCCCCAAGAAGGACCTCAACGGATGATTTTAAGGCTTGGGTAGGAACATACGGGACAGGATGTTCTTTTGCATAAACTGGCCCCAGGCCATTCAGGGCTTTAACTGTTAAGACAAGCACTTTGCATTGGGCCCAGACTTCAACTGGCATGGTGGTTTTGTTCCTGTTTGCAAAGCAGGTGAATGTCTCCCGTTTGCAGCCCTGAATGTGAGCAAGGACACGATTCTCAGGAAGTCTCTCGACCTTTTGTTCACACGCGAAAGTGTGCACATGGGCAAATTCCCGCACCAATCCCCTTTAGCCTAGGGGAGGAACACAGTGTACAGAGAACAACACTGTGTTCAAAACAAGGTGTACTTTTTCCAGTTGGGAAAACTCGTGCAGCTTTAAGAGGGTACGTCCTTTCCAAGGACTTGCAAGGACTTCCTTTCCAAGGACTTGCATCCTTTCCAGCTGGGGGAGCCAAAAGTAATGCTTGCCTTTAGGAAGGCGAATAAGGTGAACTGAGCTTCAGGGAAGATTTCGGAGCATGTCAAGATACTTAAGCATCACCTGTGATTTTGCTGCATGCCCACCCTACTTCTGTGAAATACTGCAGTGAAAGCCCCTGTCAAGTTCCCAGGCAGCCCGGGCTGCTTTTGGACAGCTCTTGCATTCAGGTTTTTCTCCTGGGCTTTGGCTGAACCCCCTTTTTGTTATTTCAACCCATCAATCCTGGCCTAGCACTCTAGGGAGCAGGTGCCACTGGAATGATGGCTATTGTTGTCCTAGACAGCCGGCAAGCAATGTACAGCATCATCCATCCACCCTTTTGCATATTTCAGAAAGGTGGCCATTTCATTGTCACTTACACGTCTGTGCTCGGTAAGTCCAGTCCTGCCCATCACAGGGCTGTGGTTGGCACGGGACGGCTGAACACCTGGGATCTCCCGGACATCATACATCGTATTAGCAGAGTCACCAAACTCCCTTGTTCGCTGCAAACTCCACTCTGATTCTTGCCACAGCTGGAAAGAAATGCAGTTTTTCCAAGAAAGACAGCTTGTTCCCAGCTGTGAAAGCATTTTTGGGGTAGCTGGGGTCCCACAAGGGCCATTCAGACCCAGCAACTTTTCCAAAGACTGCTCCCAGCAGAGAGGAAAGCTGCCACAGCCATTATGTTATGACAGTTCTACACAGCTGCCCAAAAAGAGGAGGTAACCATTAGCGGGGAATCATCGGGATGGCGGCCAGTGACAAGTGGGGTCCCCAGGGCTCTGTCCTGGGGACAATCCTGCTTAATCTTTTCGTAAATGACATGGAAGAAGGGGTGAACAGTCTGCTGATCAAATTCGCAGAAGACACTAAAACTGGGGCAGTGGCCACAACTGAGGAGCAGGTACTCCAGATCGAAAAGGATCTGGACAGACTATGGAAGTGGCAGGAGACAACAGGATGGTGTTCAGTGTGGATAAGTGCAAGGTCTTGCGCTTGGGGCACAGGAATGGGCGTCATAAGTACAGGTCAGGGGACAAGTGGCTGGAGAGCAGCACTTGTGAAAGGGACCTCGGGGTGCTGGTCGCCTGCAGGCTGAACATGAGTCAGTCGTGTGATGCGGTGGCCAAGAGGGCGAACGCCACCCTTGGGTGCATAGCCAGAAGCGAGGCTTCCGGATCAAGAGAGGTATTATGCCCACTCTGTACAACTCTGGTGCACCCGCAATTGGAGTGTTGTGCTCAGTTTTGGGCCCCTCATTACAGGAAGGATATAGCCAGGTTGGAGTCAGTGCAGCGCAGGGCCACAAGGTTGGTGGCCGGTTTGCAGGGGGTGGGGTATGAGGCGAGACTGAGGGAACTGGGTCTCTTCAGCCTGGAGGAGACTTGGAGGGGACCTGTTGGTGACATACAGATATTTGAGGGGGTGTCACATGGAGGTGGGCAGAGACCTGTTCTCCCCTGCAGAGGAAGGCAGGACACGCTCCAACAGAGCCAAGCTCCGGGAACCAAGGTTCCATTTGGATGCCAGGAAGCGCTTCCTGACAGTCAGGACCTCGAGGGCGTGGAATGGGCTTCCCTAGGAGGTCGTTGAGGCCCCATCGGTGCGGGTGCTCAAGGATAGGCTGGACGTCCACATGGTGGGCATGTCGTGAGCGGAGCCGGCTGGTGCCGGAGGGCAGACTAGATGGCCCGGGAGGCCCCTTCTGACTCGCTCTGTTTTCTATGTTTCTATGTTTCTATTTTTGGAGACTTCTTAGGAGCATGGCTGTGGAACCATTGCAATGGGCACCTGCAAGTCCAACATTTGGACCCGTGGCTGCACAGGCTGTTAGAACACTTCCAGAGTGGCCACTGCTGAGCACCCTCTTCGCCATTCTTTGCTGCTAGCCCCAAGTTGATGGATACAACCCCTGGTGTCAACCTTCCTCTTTGTTTCCAGAACCATTTTTTAAAGCCTATCCTGCCACTTCATTTTTCATCTTTTATTTCTTATCTTCTCCCCTGGGTTCTTCCCATATCTGTGCCTTTATCACGCCCAGCCTATGATCGATTCCACTCATGCTTTTGTCTGGAGAAGCATAAATGTCAGCTTATGAAGGGCATAACGGAACCTGCTAAAACAAGTGCAAGTGCAACCCTCTTGGTTCTGGTGACAGAAGGCTGCGACCGAACCGTCGCTCTTCTTGAGGAAGGGGTTGGTGACGGGGTGGGGGGGAGCTGCAGAGTGTCCCCCGACTGATCAGCTCCTCTTAGCTTTGCATCATGGTGGTCTGACGGGATCCCTACCCCACCCCCAGCCAACAAGTCTTTTGAGAACCCTTGTGGTGCAGTGGTTAAGAGCATGGATCTGGGGTGATCCGGGTTCAAGTCCCCGCTCAGCCATGCAGCCAGCTGGGTGACTCTGGGCCAGTCACCGACTCTCAGCCCAGCCCACCTCACAGGGTGGTTGTTGTGGGGAGAAGATGGAGGAGGAGAATGATGTAAGCTGCCTTGAGCCCTTTGTAGAAAAAGGCAGGATATAAATCAGGGTGGGGCGGGGGGGTGGAGACAGGAACTTACAAGAATTTGCCTTGCATTCACCGAAAAGTCATGCATGCCCCACTCACAACCCAAATTTGAGCAGAAAATGTGTTCTCTGCTAGCCAGGCCTGGAAATTTATTTTTATTTAAAGTGTTTATATGCTGTTCAATGCCACAGTCTCTGGGTGGCTTTGCAAAGGAAAAAAACGCGCTTGCATTCAGGAATTGTGCCAATTTTGGGGGGGAAAGGCAGTTTCTAAAAGGTGCTATTCTGTGCTGATGGGAGAAATTTGCGCAGCTTTTAAAAATGCTCAACTTAGGGGCCACTTTTACCTTTTCCATAAAGTCTCAGCTCCGAGTCTGAGCCTTCATGGAAACTGAAGGTGAGAAGAAGGTCAAGTTGATGGGTGAAGAATTGGAAAAATCGTGCGCATTGGTTTTTGTTTTTGGGTTTTTTTTGCCCATCTCTGGTCATGCAGAAACCTTCCTCAGTGCTAAACTAGCCTTGAAAGCCAGCAAAATGGCATCCGGTCTTACATAAGGGTTTTTTTTGTTTTGTTTTTTTACACCATCGAGAACCTGTGTGATAACATAGAATCATAGAAGAGTTGGAAGGGGCCATGAAGGCCATCAAGTCCACCCCCTGCTGTTGCAGGAACCTCCTGCTATTGCAATATAGTTGTTAGAATGCTAGACTGGCACTCAGGTGATGTGGGTTCTAGTCCCCAATCAGCTGTAATGCTTCCTGGATGACTTTGAGGTAGTCACAGACCTTCAGTCTGACCTGCCTCACAAGGTGGTTGTTTTAAGGTAACATGTAGAAGAGGAAAAACTTGTAGCCCAACTTGAGTTCCTTGCAAGAGGAGGAAAGGTGAGGGCATAGATATAATAGTAATTTTCTTCTGCTTCTCCCAGTCTCTAACCGGGATCAGAATTCTGCTGAAGCTCTCCTCAGCCGTCTTCCTAGATAGTTGCCCAGAAAGTTATGCCTTTAGTATCTTCTATTCTGGGGAACAATTTTGCATCCTGCCATTCTTCCAAGCAGCTCTGGTGGCATGCAGGGTGCCAGCTGACCTGTTCATACTCACAACAACCCTACAAGGTAGGCAGAAAGATAGCGACTGGTCAGAGGTCACTGACAAAACTGAGCAGAAAGTTGATCTTGGGCTTGCCTAGTCTGCATCCAGCACATGGCTGGGAATGATAGGGGTTGTAGTTCAATACACCTGGAAGCTGCAAGGTTGGAGGGTGTTGACAAAGATCTCACCTGGCATTCTCCACTCCAACCTCCCCCAGTGAAATGAAATCTGGTAGGCTTCCAAATTTTGCGGTTCTTATCAGTGGCTTGGGCTTGCTAGGAGGTGATGTGAATTGCAGCCCAAAGGTTCTAGAGGGCACCAGGTTGGAGAAGTGTGCTCCAACCACTGTGAAACACTGTCTTTTCAAGGACAGTGGGAGCCTGATTTATCCCCTGACAAGTGCAGAACCCCCCCCCCCCCCGCTGCAGTTGGAGCACCCTGGAGCTTTAGAGGAACTGTAGGTTTACTCTTATGGAAAGATACGGGGCTTATAAAGCTCAGACTAAAACTTGCCATGCACAAGGAGGCAGAAGTCACCAGGTGGTGGGGTGAGCTGGGGCAGGGAGGGAGGGCGTGAGGAGCGGCTGGAATAGGAGGCATGGCTCTGCCCACCCATTGCTGGGGAACGTGCGTGGGAAGGTATTGTGTATCCATGTCCTGCCCTGTCCAAAAAGGTCCATCTAGCAACTTTTTATTATCATTATGAGTCTCCAAAATTCTAACAAAAAGTTAAAACCATGAAGAAAGTGAAGGGGTAAAACAAATAAAAGATGTAGAGTGTTTAATACATAAGATTTGAATATATCAATTTCAGTAAATATGTGTGAAATACACACACACACACACACACACACACACACACACACACACACACATATATA